GTATCAGTAGAGAAAAAGCATTTGACTTAAACCTAAAGCAGTACAAAACTCTAGAAATAAAGGAAAGCTTCCACAACTTAGTAAAGAACACATACATAAACAAATACATACACACACACATACATGTGTACCTATAGCTGGTATCAAATGAAGTGGCGAGAGAATAAACGCTTTCCTCCTATGACCAGGAAAAACATTAGGGATGGCCATCAGGCAACCTATAAAGTAGTGAAAGTGCCAGTCGGTGTAAATAAGTGATAAAGGGAAATAAAAGGCTATCAATTGGAAAGAGGAAATAAAACTGCCTCTATTTGCAGATGACATAATGGTCCCTGCAGAATATCCCAGGAAAATTACCAAAAACAAACACAAGACAAAACAAACCAAACCACCCACACAAAACTCCCAGGATAAGTGAGGTCAGCAAGTTTGCAGAATTCAAGATTAAAATATAAAAACCAACCCTATTTCTGCATACCAGCAGTGAACAAATGAAAACAGAGTACCATTTATAATTGCTCAAAAACAACTTAGATACAAATTTAACAAAGCATGTTAGGACTTATACACTGAAAACTACAAAATGCTGATTAAAGAAGCCAAAGATCTAAATAAATGGAGAGAAAGAGTGTGCTCTTAACATGCAAATTAAGACACAAAGAGATCGTACTAAAAATGCATTAGCACAGCCAACTATAAAATTAATGACAATACCAAATGCTAGAGAGGAGGTAGAGAAGCTGAAATTTTCGCACATTGCTGGTGAGAATGTAAAATGGCACAGTCAACACAAACTACTGACACACACAGTGAGATGAATCCTATGGAAATTATGCTGAGTGAAAAAAATGTCACTCTCAAAAGCCTACATACTTTATAATTCTGTTTATACCATTCTACAGATGAAAAACTGGGAGAAGAACACATCAGCGGTTGTCAAAAGCTAGGGATAGCTGAGGGTGGAGGGGGGCTGGTCTATAGAACAATATGGGAATGATCTTAACGATCATAGAACAGTTTTATTTCATTTTGTTTCACTTTTGGTGCTGGGGATGAAACCCAGCACCTCACTCATGTTAAACACAATGTCTACCACTGAGCTACAACCTGAGTCCCAGTTTTTATCTTGATCATGGTGATGGCTATATGAATACAACACGATAAAAGGGCATAAACACGCACGCTCGCGCGCGCACACACACACACACACACACACACACAAAACAGAAAATGCTCCCCTTCCCAGCCAGTATACTTTAGTTTTTTAGCTGCCCAGTTCCTATTCTAGTTCCAGCTGCTTCTATCTCCTAGAAACGGCCGGTCACTGTGATGCACAGCTGGTCCCTATGATGCATAAGAACCAATCCCCAATTAACAAGCCATTCTGCCTCTGTACTTCCTGCTTGCTTATCCCATATAAGCCCTAGACCACCAGAGATCGGGGCCTGACATTTTGGGAATGATCTTGATCAGTGTCCATCACCATAAATAAATCTGCCTCCAAGTCCTGGGTGTTGTTTTGGTAGTTCTGCTTGCTGTTACACATGCACATGCAACCACACACACACACACACACACACACACACACTTAAAATCAGAGAAATCTCTAAAGCCAAGGAGTTGTGCCACTGTCACTTTTTGGTTTTTGCTATCACACTGTATTTGGGTAACATATTACCACCTGGGAAAGCAAGGTGAAGGGGATATGATATCTCTTCAGTACTGTTTTTGCAATTTCCTATGAATGTCTACAACTATTTTAAAATAAAAGGACTTAGTTTTTAGTTATCTTTTGTAGCTGTCTTGGCATAACACATAGGACAGCAGTCATTCCATGAGGGTGTGACTTGCACTGCCTTTCAGAAGCCCTGTGATCACCAGCAGAAACTGAGCAACATCCTCCGAAGACGGTGAGCAGCTGCTTGATGATTCCAACCTCTCTGGGGTAAGGCGACCTTCCCCAGATTTCGAGTCCAAAGACAGAGCCAACGGTTCCAGTGTGAGAAGCCGTGCCTTCCTAAAACACTGCACCTATTTCCGTTTTTTTCACTAACCACTAGTATCAAGAGCAGAGAGTAGGACATGATTAGAAAACTGTGAAGGTTGCATACACTGATAACAATGATGAAAAGGAGAAGACCCACCAGAAAGTATGCAATTGGAGATGGGCATGGTGGCACACAGGAGGATCACAAGTTTGAGCCCAGCCTGGGTAACTTCGCAACTTAGTGAGTCCTCTCTCAAATTAAAAATAAATAAATTGATAATAAAAATAATAACAATGGCTGCAGATACAACTCAGTGAAGGCCCTGAGTTTAATCCTTACGTACTTCCTCCTCCGAAAAAGTCACAATTGGAAATAATCAAATGAGATTTTTCTTACGCGTTGAATGGGCCTCTGTATTGTTCCCTCACAGCGCTGACTCCCGAACTGTGACCAGAACACCCACTGTGGCACTGCAGGACATTTTCCATTTTGGTGGGAAAACAGCGATGCTGAACATTTTTCCCGCACCATGCAAGCTACTAGCCTGAGACAGATCAGTTTCAATCCGAGGCTGTCCTGTATTTCTTTCACTCGAGTCAGAACTGGAACTGTTAGGTATTTCTTTTGACCTACAGTTCTCGTGAAACAAATTATCGAGGCACAGGCGCACCGTGAATGAGAAAGTTTAGGGACACGTACATCAGGGTATGGCTGATGTTTAACTGATCCACTTCGAAGCACCCTGGAGTACACATCCCGACCATCTCTCTCACTGTGTGCACTGCAAGCACAACCTCTGCCCACCTGGATTCCACAATCTGTGTACTCCTTGTAGGAACTGGATATCCAAGTGGTACAGCAAACACGCCCACAACCATGGTGACAGACATCACACTACTTCCCTGGGAGTCACGCTCGGACCCTCCTGCGTGAAAAGAGCTCTCGTTTCACACACTGCCAAGTCCACCCAGCTCCTCTCCACTCCCCACGGCCTTTGTGTATTGGATCCCCGTCGTTTTACCCTTGGGTCATCGCTGGACCATTACGACGCTTTTTAACTGGTTTCTCTGTCTTCCGCCTCTGCAAATCTGCACACTATAAATGCTGCTAGACAGCCACTTCCCTGCTTAAAATCCTCCACTGCCTCCCGTGCCCTACAGAAACAACACTTTGGATGCCATCAATGCTCTCTGTGACTTTGTCCCAGCCTAATTCCCCTTGTCGCCCCTCTTGGTCTCTAGCCGCCCAAACTCCAGTGGTTCTGCCAGTGCACCTCTGCGCTTCTCCAAGGACGTCTGCGCATGCGTGTTCCTTCTACTGTTCCTCCTCCCTGGGCCTTACTGGGATCCAGGTAACCAGCAGCTCCTCTATGAAGCCGCTCCTGGCGGCTCTCATACCACTTCCGGGCACCTTTCTCACCTGTGTATTTTTCTGTTAGACCATTTTTGAAGGCGGGGGCCATATTTTACTCATCTTTTCATTCTTAGTAACCAGAGCAGCACCAGACACGCATGCGTCACCACGCATTAACCAAAACAGTGACACACTTTCTCAGGCTCTCCTCTGTGCTTATTTAGGATTTATTTTGGTAAATTCAATCTCTTTGTAGCTCCTTTAACATTTCAAACCCCAGGTCCTTGATGCTTCCAGAATATGTTTTCCCTAAATGGTTAAGTCTGGGACAGACCACAGGTCAGATACACAAAATCTACCCATAATCAAGGTACAAGGCCTTTTTACCTTGTTCTTATTTGAGGCTAGAGCTTATGAAATTTTAATCAAGTGATTCCTGTATTATTAAATATCACTGGCCTGAGAAGTTGTGCAGAAAGCCACTTAGGTTATTGGGGGTGGGGGAGTGAGTCTTTTTCATTGTTCATGTTAGGCCTGACTTTGTCTACACAAAAAGCATTTAGTTAAGTAGACAACATAGCTCATTCTTGACCTTATTACTCGTTGGTATTAACTTACTGTTTGTGTGGTACAGCTCACATAACATACAAGTCAGTGGTCTTTAGTCATGAAGCCATACAACCAACACCACTACACAATTCCAGAACATTTCCACTCCCACTGGCAGTCACTTCCCAGTCTGCTCTCCCTGCAGCCTCTGCCAACCACCAATCTACTTCCTGTTTCAATGGATTTGCCTATTCTGAACATTTCCTAAAAATGCAACCATACTATACATGCCTTTTTGTGCCTGGTATTTTTCACCTAAAATTACATTTTCAAGGTTTACTCAGGTCCATTTCTTAAAAGGATGTCTTTAAACGAGAATTTGAACAGACAACTAGGCAGAGCAGTATAATGACTGTTCAGTGTCACCCCTTCCATGTCCCCATGACCTCCACACCTTCTCTTAGTCTGAACTAAATCCCAACCACCACGTTATTTCTTTGTCAGTACTTCAGCAAGGATGTAACCATTACGGCAGCTCCATGAACACTGGTACTGCAGTTTTCCTTTGCTAGGTACTGCTTATTTTAAAAAGACACCAGATGAGGGTATTTGTTCTGACAAATAAAAGCACCAACGAGAAAAGCAGAAATAGTATCACAAACTACAATCCCAAACCAAATTCTCCAGATGCCAAAACTCAGAGCAACCTGAAACTTGATAAATACCTCAATATTTTTTCTGACAACCAGAACCTCACATGGGGGTTGTTTACTACTTCAGCTTTTCCGTCATCCCAGGAATGGACTAGAGGTTGTTACAAGGGTATTCTGGTTTTGTTTTTAGCATGCACCTCTCTAAAAATTACAAATCAGAAAGCACTTTAAGGTGCCTACATGAGGGCTAAAAACAGAAGCGATTTCCCCCAGAAGAGTTTATGAACCTTAGAAACAGAATTTCGAGCTTTTTCTTTGTAGGACTTTGTTAATGTTTGTTTTAGGAAAATCGCAGCAGAAAAGCTGAGATTCGTCATCATAAAGTGAGGAGAAAGTAAATTAAAAGCAGACGAAAGAATAAACAGAAGAGATACATGCATGTTGGAGTTCCTCTTACCCTTTTGTGCGCTATTAGGAGGCAGTTGGAATGTTCGTGCTCACACGCAATTTCATAGTCAGGGATCAGGTCCACCAGTTCACAGACGAAGCGGACGACTTCCTCGTGCCAGGGCACGTTGGCCATGGTCAGGCTGCTTGCTGAACTTTCTCCACAGTAGGTGACACCCTGTGGGAACATCACAACCGTCAGGGATGTTTGCAGACCCACTTGAATATCACAAAGAATTCATCTAATCCAATTCAATCCAACCCGTATCTTGAAAGGAAAAGGGTGGCAAACATCGCCGAGGGGGCCACACAAGGTGTCAGGGGACCCAGGCCAACGAGCACCTGTGTTACCCGCGGCCATCTAGGCACTGTAACATCCTGGCATCGACAGTGCACCTCTCCACGCAGGCACTGCTGCACGGTGACGGATGAATTCCCAAGGACTCACAGTCCCTGTACAGTGGCGGCGAATCTTTTAGAGCTCTCAACGATGCAAAGCGCCCGCTGCAGCACAGGTGCCACAGCTTCACCACCCCTGCCCTAGTGAGCAAATACGCTCAGAAATAACAGTGAATAAACACATTTTCCAGTATAACTGAGATCCAGGCTGTCACGCTTCAGACACCCATAGAAATTCGCTGACCAACTAACTCACTGGGAAAATGAGGCAAGCTGCCATTCCCCCGCATAACGGAGAGTGAGACTGTTGCACTTTTTAGCTTTTTCTGTAATGGGCCAAACAGGGATCCCTTTGAGATTATTCTTTAGGGAGATCACTTTGTGATGCCCTTTCAGTTGAGTGTGAATATACATAAACAAAGAATCACGCCGAAAGAGAAATATACTGGTGGATATACCTACATACCCTACCAGACACCCACACGTACATACATACATTTACCCCGCCAATCCAGGAATTCCTAAGAAATGCAACTGCAAAAAGATAAGCTGGTTTCTAAGTCTTCTGAACTCTGCCCGACAACCTAGGCATATCTCAAATGTTTCATCACTGAGTTCTCTGCTTGATAAATTACATAATGACTGATAAATAATTTTCTAACAATAAAGGGTATCATAGTTCTGTGGACTTTTCAAATATCCCCAAATCAAACTTTCTTGACAAGTGGTTTAAATGTCTTCTAGGTAATTAAAAATGAAATAAAAAGGGATATGCAGCACTCTCTCTCTCTCTCTCTCTCTCTCTCTCTCTCTCTCTCTCTCTCTCTGTCTCTCTCTCTCACACACACACACACACAAGCAGAATGACATTAAGTTTTGGTTTTTTTTTAAAAAGCACTGCAGAGTGACCCTGCCCCACAGATGGCAGAGTTGAGACTTGGCCGGAGACTCCGATGAGCTCGGAGAAATGCATTACTCCAGATGGCTGTTCAAAAAGATGACTGGTACTCTAAACCGAGATGGGCTTTGCTGAATATAAACTGCCCACAGCCAGCTTAATTACAATAAACAAGAAAATCTTCCCTGTTTGCCCACTGATTTACAGAATTGATTAAACCAAGCTTGAATTTTAGGTGAATTTTTTAAAAAGCAAATAATAATATAGTTCAAAATACCATTAAGAAAGTATGGCTGTGGGGCCAGGGATACAGCTCAGTGGCACAGCACCTGCCTGGCAAGCACAAGGCCTTGAGCTCGATTCTTGGTACCCCCACCCCCAAAAAAGAAAGTACTGCTGAAAAAATGCTAAACTCTCCCAGATGCATAAACAAACAGGAAAATGATTTATTGATAGGTCATAAAATGTACTTAGCTTCAATTTAAATACTGCTTATGTTATACAAATTCTACAAACAATCATGCACACAGCTATTTCAAAGGAATTTCTTTTTAATATTTAAAAAGTTCACCGAGGCATGGAAATTTTAGATAAAATTGTATAGTCATGACCATGACTCTTGAAAACACTGTAATACTTTATTATTCAGCAACAATCAATCATGAAACATTAAGGGAGATTTGGTTAGGAGACTGTAAGAAAATGAATGTCAGGGCTCATTGTGACGCCTTCACAGAATACTGACAGTCTTTCATGCTTTATAATTTATAAGCCCCTTCCGCACAGAAGTTTTCCTTTTACTCAGACAAAACCCTCTGAGGTAAGCAGCACTGGGTCAGCCGCCTCTTCATTGTGACAAAAATGCTCTGGGCAGAAAATGGCCTCTGGGAAAGGAGGATGCAGGTCCCCTGGTGAAAGACCCTCACTCAGTTTTCGCTCCTGATCCTTCCAGGTCTGACGGCCTCCCTGCTTTGGCCACTTCTCTTCCGCCTACACTCTAGGCTACTGATGGCTCTGCCCTGACGGTCCTCCTGAGCACGGCTGACCCCGAATTATCTAAAACCCCTGTGTCATGGCTGTCTGCCACCCTCCCCTCCACCACCCCATGTATCAGCCCACAGCTGTGAACAAGGACAGCCTAAGGAGAACACACGGGCGCAACATGGAGCACAAAGAACCGTCACTCACTCCAGAAACTACAGGCTGGGGGATGACAAGCAGACCCAGAGGACGCTGTGCAGAGCAGGACCATGACATCAGCCAGGCCCTGGCGACCTGGTGACTTCTGATGCATCTTACTGCTCTAGGAGACAAAAAGGCCCGTTTTAACGGCTGCCTGGACAGTCTGCCGTGGGATTCACTTCCTGTGGGAAGAGCAGTATTTCCACAGCTTGACTATTTGATATTCTACTTAACCTGACTGACTTGATATCAAGAAAGTCCTAATGCTGTTTTTTGCCCCCTATAGTTTGATTTTTTGGCAACAAACCCAATACATGTCACTCCTTTAACCCAAAAACGCCTCAAAAACTCCCCTCCAAACCAGTCACAGCTTCTCCGCACGGCTCGTGAAGCCTTCACCTTCCTCTGTAGCCTTCCTCTAACCAGGGATACGTGAGCCCCGGCTTGGCCCCCCACATCCACAAGGCTTCCCGGGGCTGGGCTGCCCTGGGCAGCAGGGAACCCTGCCCCACCTAGCCTCAGTCTCATCACACCCATGTAAGCCTGGCTGTGACTGCACTCCGGCTCCCAGACACAGGCTTATGCCCCGCCCAGCCTGCCCAGCGAGCCCAGGATCAAGCCCTACTTTTCTACATGACAGCAACCCCGCTAAGTAGGCCCTGAGCACTGCTGCACCAGGGAACAGCAGCAAGGCTCCCTGCCCGTGTGGACAGGCGGAGCTGTGCGAGGACAGTCACTCTGCAAGGTGCGCGCTGCAAAGACTCAGCGCTGCAGACAGGCACAGTGCTACAGAAAGCAGGTGGAATCATCTGACAGCAAATAATTACTGGGCACTTACTGTTCTCACCGCGCGACGTGAGGCGGGGAACACAATGACAGCATTTCGCTTACAAAGGGACTGTGCTATTAAAGTTTTCAGTAAAGCAGATGTTTGTAATATAAAACACGTCTTCACAAACAAGCAACCAAATGACAGTTAAGAGTCTCAGGCTAGCAAAGAAAGGCCCACTTAAGCCTAATGACGCTAAAATACCTGTTAATTTACAGGGAATATAACAAAAATAATTTGTAAGACGGCAAGCAAGGAAAAGAGGAAATCAATATAATAAAGAAATTGCTTCTTTTGATTTAGTTTCAATGAATGTGCCTAATGGAAAGTGATCTCAACATTTACTGAACACAGGAATAGGTTACCCCAATTCTCAAAACAAACCTCTTAAGTAGATGCTATTATTCTAGTATTTGTATTGCAGTATTGAGAAAATTTAGGCTCAAGGAAATGAAGTAATCTGTCCCAGGCTATCCCTATATTTTAAGAATGCATCAAAACCCCTCTTTCAATTCCCCATCTGAGACTGCAGGTTATGCAGACCAAGAGGGGCCCCCAGGACCCCCATATACACCAGGGCATCACAAATAAGATGAAAAGAGAAAGTGGGAAGAAGATGGAAAAAGGTTGACAAAATTTCCTATCAAGCTCCTAATTCTGCCACTAAGCTAGATTCAAGCTAGAGGACAAAAATGACAAAAAGAAGTTGAACAGTCATACATGTGAGAAACTTAAAAGTATATTTAGTAATCTGTAAATAGCTCAGTACAATATTCTGAATACACACGTGCATTCCTATTTAAATAATAAAAAGCAACACGACTGAAATACATAAAAGACTGTAACAGCATCATGTTTGCTTCTCCAAGGAGCCTTAGTTGCATCACTAGCCTTGGACCCACTTTTATTATTAATTGCACATCGTGGGCACACTTCTATAACCTTGAGGTTCTGTTCAATTTGAACTTCAGATGCCTTTGAGGTTCAAAGGGAGACAAGGGAGAAGTCTCACTTTTTACCAAAAGCACAGGTAAAGAACAAGCCTTCCAAGTGCTAGTTAGTCTGGGTAGGCGGGTAGATTTTTTCCTAATCCGGCCTGTCACTAAAGGCGCAAGGGTACAAGCTTCCTTTAAGCCCAAGTCCCTATGGGACTTGCATAGGACCATCAGGACAATCTCCTTTCTTCTCCCCTAAGCATTTTCCTTGCAGAACTGACAGATCAGCTGTGTTTTCAAAGTACATTTTCCCTGTGTTTATTTCTGGAGAGATTTCAGGTTATCTTAGCCTGCCATATTGCTAGTTCTCATCAATTTTTTTTTTTAGAAAGGGCTTATTATTTTTAAAACGCTCCCATTTTCAAAAAATTTAAACTTAATAAGATAACAAAAAGGTGAGATTTTAGACATTAAGTAGTTTCATTCTGCTGAGCAGGAAAACCTGACTTTTCCTTCTACTGATTTCAATTCTTAACTCTAACTCCCCTTCCCCTTACGGTTCTGGAGACTGAACCCAGGAAAGTGCTCTGCCGCTGAGCTCTATGCCAGCCCCATTTCAGTCTTTTCAATTATGAAACTAATGCATGCTCATTACAATTACTGATAAATACAGAATTATGAAAACTAAAATTATTAAGTCTTTGCTTCTCTTTCTTCCAAATAGAACACTATTAGCAAACAGAACACCATCAGCAATTGGATACACATCCTTCCATATTTTCCCATGTATTTATGAACATATGCAGTGGAAAATATAATCACGAATATTACTCTATACCGTGTGTTTTAGTAGTATACTACATCTCTTTTGCTACTTCACCTCAAAAGGAAGACACTTTATTAACTTGCTAGACAGAGCAGAAGTGAGCGAACAAAGCATGTGCTCTAATCCTGGGACGGACCAGGTACCTGACACTGCAGGACATCTCTACCTAAGGTTGTCTACAAAAGTCGGGCTGGTCAGGACCACACCGTCCCCTAATATAACAGACTGTTGCTATTACACTATACTTCACTGTAAAGAGCACTTTAAATTGTGTTCTGATTACACATTTCTCTAAGAATTTTCAATTATTAAATCTCTCAAAATAGCTCATTTTATTTTTGCAGATTTTGCCTATTCAATAAGATATTTATCTCTTAAATAGCATGTCTTAGCAATTACTTTTTATCTCTGGTCACTTAACAAGAGCTGGCACATGAAGAGGGCTCACAAATATTATTGAATGTGGAAATAAACCAGTCAAGTGGGAAACGGGTTGGGAAAAAGCCACGCTTTTATAACATTTTAGACACGGGCAGAGGCTATTTCCTAGTAATATTAACAGCCTGCCGAACTAAAAAAAAAAGCCCACGAGAGAATTCTCCCGTTTACAAAGGAGCTGTCTTCCTGCAAAATATACTTTTTTCTGATTATAAAATACCTCTTCCACTATTCTATAAGACTGTGTGAGACAGAGACAAGAGACACACAGAGAGAGACAGAGACAGAGACAGACAGAAAGAAAAGGAAGAAAAAAGGTGACCAAGTCATCAGCCACGTTGCTTTACAATAACAGAGGTTTTACTGCAACATAATTTGAGGCAGCATTGTTTAATAGCTAAATTATAAATTAAGAGCCCACTACTCTCTGAGGCTCGCAAGCTTTGCTTAAACTGGGACACACATTCTCGGCTGCATTTGTATCTTTGCATCGTTAAACCTCCTGCCAAGAGAAACCACTTGAAATTAAAAGCAATTTCCCAATCGAAGAGTGTCTTCGGCCCAAGCGGAGTCGGGGACACACTGGGCGCGCAGTATGTCACCTGCCCACCTCCCCACCCTGCAGAGCGCAGACAGGAGCTGAGGGTGAGACCCTGAAACACCCTCACACAACACAGAGAGCGCTGCGCAGCCCCGCGTTGCGAAAGGCAGACTTTGCTTTTCGAGTCCGGGAACGCCTTCCGTCTCTTGTTCCTGATGTGGATACTCAGCACCACCCCCGAACCCCCAAAAATCCAAGCCATTTGCCTCTCAACCCTCCACAGCCCTGACCGCCATGCCCCGCTGATGAACTCCAGCCCTGGCTGGTCCCCAAACCCCACGCTTGTACAACCTGTGGCCTCATGGAACCTGTACCGGGGTATTTAAAAGACAACTCCAATCTAACCCGGCCAACAGGGACCCCTTAAATTCTCTCCCCAAATGTGCCCCCACGTTCTCTGTCTCAGTACACAGCCCCACCTTCCACAGCATCGCTGAAGCCAAAACCCGGATGCTACTCCCAATCCCTCTCGCCTTCCAGACGCACATCTAAGCGCGGAAGGCATCCTGTGGGCGCCACTTCCAAAACGGACCCTAAACGCATCCACCGTCCTCCTAGGGCGCTTCAACATCCTGCTGGGATGAAGCAGAACCCCCTCGGCGGGCGTCCCAGCCACGACTGCCCTCTGCCGTCCATTCGTGACGCAGCAGCAGCGGGCGCCTTCAAAATCCCATCGCCTGGCTCCCAGGTCTCAATACTGCTATTTAAAAAGCTCACTGCTAAACTTAGTTTAAATCCAGTGTGCGTGTCTGTGCTTGGAGGCCTCGCAAAATCCGCCCCCGCCTGCGCCTCTGCTTCATCCAGTCCACTGTCAACCTCGAGGGCGCAACTTGGACCCTCTTCCCGCCACAGCGTCCCCGGGGCGCTCTCAGCCCAACCCGGGTGCGGCCTGGCTTCTCAGTACTCAATAACCCGTTTTCTGCAAAAGTCACCTTCTCAGTAAAACCCTGCTGAGACAGTCAACCACAAGATCGAGCAAAACGTACACAGACCCAGAAATGGCACTTAAGAAATGCACTGGCAAAAATAGGAACGAGACAAAAGGTTGTTATCAGCCTCGGAATAGAGTATATTCAACATCACCAAGGAAGTAGTCTCGGAACGTGCACACTCTGAATCTGGATCTAACTACTGCTCTGCTCTACCTACTCATCCACGGGAAGGGGACAGAGGAGCAAGCAAGTGACACAATCTCGGACATGGTCACGGCGGGCCCGTCACCATAACTGATTCCTCTCCTTTTCCTTCTTATGCCACCTTGATCATGTTTGCTTCTCCTGCTCATCCTCCCTACTACAGATCCATTCTAACAAAATAAATAATGAAGAAGTATGAATGGAAGAGAAACTGGCAGACTACAAGAAGTTTAAGAAAGAAACACTGTCATGTGTGTCCCTCATTTGGATCCCGATTCAAAAATACAGTTGAAATAAAAATACGTAGTACTAAATTTATAGAATAAAAATTATAGAATAAAAAAAATCTGTAAAATGTGAAACGTGTCCCAATAATTGAGTTTGTAGGTGTGAGCCTCATGGGATGAGTAGGAGTTTTTAAAAGAGTGTGTATCTTTTAGGGTACAGACTGGCATAGCTGTGGACAGATGACAAAGGGCTGGGGGCTCCTTCAAGACAATCTCGAGTCAGAGCAGGAAAACCAGCAGGGCCACAGCTCACCAGAGACGGGTCACAAAGGCTGCACACACAGCTCGGGTCAGAGGCCTTGTGTGGCCAGCTGCAGGCTGGGCCGTCCTGGGCGGGCTCTGCTCAGAACTCACTAACTGTTATAGCTGAGTGACCAGTGCATGGATGGGCTTCATCAGACCATCCATCTACTGCTGTAATACGTTAGAATTTTCTTCACAAAGTTTATTTAAAAGTCAACCAGTTACTCATTACAACACTTGTATTTCTCAGCTTAATGTCACTATGTAGAATTATTCATTTTGTGTTGTCTATCTCTGACTAACATACAAGCTCTTTAAGAGCAAAAGCCTAATCTTCTTTACTGATATTATCAGCGCCAGCTTCTCACTTATTGCTGAATGAATAAGAAAATAACACGTCTAGAGGCTCCTGTAGAGATTTTTTTGTTTGGTTTGACTGGGGGGTGGGAGGAGTATTGGAGATTAAACCTCCAGTCTTTCCACTGAGCTCCATCCTGAGCTCCATCTCCAGCCCTTTGTTTTTTATTTTGAGGCGGAGTCTTGATAAACTGGCCGGGCTGGGCTCAAACTTGTGAAGAGTGCTGGGATTACAGGTGTGTACTCTCGCTTCTGGTTGCCTTTACAACTGTAACAGCATTTGACCGCATCATGGCCAGCGAAGCGTCAAGGCAAGCTTTGTCCAAGCCTAGCGGCAGGGCTTACCTTAACCTCGATGAAGTCGGGCCTCCCCAGGGACACGAGCTCAGCGTAGGCCTGGAGTTCGTCCACGTTCCAGGACTTCACGAGGGTCAATCTGTAGACAGTGCGCTGTCGCTACAACAAAAGGAAAGCCAACTTTGTTGTAATCTCGGCAGAAGTCACCTATTAAAATTCGCAGATTTTTTCAAACCATGGAGAACCCAGGTCAGGTGAAGCCCAGCATGAACTTAGGTAAACTGAAGTTACATTTCAGTGACAGGTGAAAAAAAGATGTTAACATGAAATAAGAGTCTCACATGCCTTACGAAGGCACAGGTGTTAAAATATGTCTCTTCTGTCCCTCATCACATGTAACACTATGGTAGGTAGCCAGAGGCTTGTGACATGTACATTCCACTGGATTCAGTAACAAGCAGAAAACTGATGAAATGGTTTTAGGCTGTGAGAAAATTAATTCAAATAACCTTTGGGCTTCTGCGTAATGACCACGCAAATCGTTATTGACAAGAATGATTACTGCTGTCTTCGTTTCCTGCCATCTTGTTATTTAACAACCTCTTGGCGTTAGGGACATTATGCACCATCAGTGCGCCCATTTGTTTACCATGTAAGCAAAGATGCGCCCACTTTCCAAAAAGCTTACACCCTTTGACTCTGCGGCTCCCGTCCAGCACCCAAAAGAAATGATTAAGATACAAAGACTGACTGAAAACAAATCTCACAACAAAATTACTGATAGCGTAATATCTAAAGCATGACCCTGCCCTGATGGAGGCTGGAAGTGTGACGCACAGAAAACTGCAGAGGTGACGGGGTGTAAGGGCCATGTCCTGCAAACTCCCCCTAAGTGGCAAGGCCCGACATAATGGAGATAAAAGCAAAGTGAGGACATGAACAAAAAGACTCTGATCTCTTTACTACTGTCTACATGTTTGTATGTTTGTTTGTAGTCAGTACTCAGAATTGAACCCAGGGCCTTTACACTAAGCTGTATCCTCAGCGCCTTTTTATTTTTTATTTTAAGACATGGTCTCACTACATTGGGCTCAAACTTGTGATTTTCCTGCCTCAGCCTCCCAGAATGTTGGGATTATAGGCATTTGCACCACCATGCTCAGATTGTTTATGTTTGAAATCTTTCATAATTGATTAAAAAAAAAAAACAAAAAAAAAACACTGGAGATCGTTTAGTGAAAATGTTTAGCAGGTACATCAGAAAATAGTGTTTTCCACCAGGGATATAGCTCAGTGGCACAAGCGCCTGCCTGGCAAGCGCAAAGTCCTGAGTTCGATTCCCAGTTCCAAAAAAAAAAGAAAATAGTGTTTTCCAAGCATATTTACTCACATATACTCAAAAGTTCTTTTGGAAATGTGTTAGACAATGCAAGAAAAGAAAGAAATCTTCTGGGCTCCCTTCATAAAGCTAGAATTGTTCTAAGGCTAAATGGAAAAGAAAGAAAGTAAGAAAGAGAAAGAAAAAAAGAAAGAAGGGAAGGAGGGAAGGAAGGGGGAAGGGAGGGAGAAGGAAGGAGGGGAAACGGAGGGGGGAGGGAAGGGGAGGAAAACTACAGACCAATCTCACTGCATATATACAAAAATCTTAGGGAAAGTTTAGCAAATAAAATTCAGTACTATTTTAAAAACTCTAAGACTATAGAGATGATTCAGTACAGGGTGACACACATGGTAACACAATTCATCATGCTAATAATTCAACGCAGAAAAACCATCACCTTCATAGATATCCAAAAGTATGCCACATATGTAGTTTAAAAGCCAATCTTGATTGTAAAATAGAAAAGAACACACCAAAAACCATTTGGTAAATTCAAACATTAAGAAACACATCTTTAATGTAAAGAAAAACATTTTCTAGTCAACAGTCCATGAAACTCACAGTGGTTTTAAAAAAGTCACTCCAATTTAGTCATGAATATATGAGAATGATCACAGTATTATTTTCTATTTTAATGCTTTCTGCAAGTTGTAGTCAAAGCAAGAAGGTCAGGACAAGAATTATTGGGAAGGATACAAAAAATGATTAATTGCAAGTAATACAACTGGCTTCTTGAAAACTTAACATCATCAAGTAAAAAAAATAGACTTGGCTCCGGCGCACGGGAAACCACGGGCAGGGAGCGCGCCGGTCTTCCGACCGGCTCGCTCCCTGCCTCGTAGGCACCCGGAAGGAGGGGCCCCGTGCATGGGGACCCACGGGCGGGGAATGCCAGTCTTCCAACCGGCTCACTCCCTCCCTCATAGGAGCCCAGAAGGAGAGCTTCTGGCACAGGGGGAGCCACGCGGTAGCGAGCGCTGTTGTGCACCGGCCCTCAGGCCAGCCGCCGCTGCTCAATTGAGAACAACCATGACACAGAGAAACAATTACACAATTGGCCCACCATGCACCAGCTGCAGAGGCCCACCCACAGACGTGTGAATCATTCAAACATGGAGAAACCCCTGGGAATACATGCCATACAATGCGTCACTCTTGCTCCTGCCACTGAGAACCAGAAAGGTCCAGAGTCAGCAGAGGAGCAGTTGCTGAACAAGGACTCGGAGAACATGAGAATGCAGACTAAGCCCAAGGAGTCAGAGGTCCTGTGGACTGGGGTCATGAGAGCTGCTTGGAAGCTGTAAACCAGGAGGACCTTGCACAATACCTGTGGAGACTCCCTGGAAGCCATTCTTCCCCTGAGAGTACAGGCTGTGGTGGAGCTCCGGAGAAGTCTGCAGTAGGATTCCTGCTGCCTGTGCTGACAGTTGGGGAAAGGACAATGGGGGTCCCAATGCGACAGGAGGCTGGAGAGAAAACGCTACAAAAAATGGCTTTCACCCCAGACAAATCACTTGATTTTTGACAACCCTTAGGCTGTAATTACTTGTTAGATCCTTCTTGTGTATCTCTGTCTTCCTGAGAAACC